ACAGTCATAGATAAGGAGATCATTCGGATGGTTATCAGCTGGGAGGGGAAGAGGGAGAATGGGGGAAAAATCTCGGAGAATAAGAAGCATAAATGGTAGGTACAAAATAGACAGGGAGATGTGAAGAATAGTATAGGAAATGGAGTAGCCAAAGAACTTCCATGCATGACCCATGGACATGAACTAAGGGAGAGGATTGCTAGTGGGAATGGGGGTACTGGGTAGAAGGGGACAAAGGGGGAAAATTGGGACAACTGTAATAGCAAAGTCAATAAAATATATTTTAAACAAAGGAAATGAGAGCAGTGCTGCACAATGAGAGGCACATTGCATTCAGATCAAGGATGATCCAAGTTTTCACTTTAATTTCAGTGTAAGCAGTGTGCTTTATGCCTAGACTAATAAAATAGAGGTAAGAGATGTTGGGGGGAAGCTGTGTTATAATATAGTTTTCAAGTGGGGGTTGGGCTTTTCAACATTAGACATAATCTTTGCAGCCAGCTGGGCTTAGCAATATGCTTTTATGAGACTAGGAAGGTATGTACATTGAAACCCACATGAATGTACATTTGCTTTGGTCATAATATTAGGCAAAACCACCACTTACTTTACTGTTTAGGGCATGAGTAAAAATCAAAGAACAGTTCTCTTTTTAATTTCAGTTCTGCTTCTAAACAGGTTCTGTTAGACACTATTCTTCAGAAGTGAACCATTTATCCCTGAAACAGTTGATATGAAAGACACAGAAAATTATTTTTATTTAATATAGAGTCCGATGTTGGGGACTGCCCTGCCTGGTCTCAGGAAGCTGTAACCCCCCGTGACTTGGGCTGAGTGAAAGACCTCTGGACCAGGAGCCATTAAGGAGACAAAACTTATTTCCCTGGCTTGAACGCTGCCTGTTCTAATGCCTGGCTCTTATTGCATGATTGGCAGTCAATGACGGGTAACAATTCTCTAAGAAAGAGAATGAATCTAAGACAGATGCGATCATGTGGGAATGCCCTAAGGAAAGAGACTCGGGGCTATGGATATGAAGGGGTGATGGACATCAACCCCTGTCCCCTTGGCTTTGTCAAAGCCTGAGTCCTTGTGAGAAATCCAAGTCTCCTGGCTGCCTTTGTCTTCTCTGTTAACTCAGGCCTGCGGGAATAGCAGGGGCGGTACAGACCAGACCAGAAACGGCCGACCCCCGGGGTAATCAGGCCTGGGACATAGAATATGCAAGATCCTGTAAGATGTGTTTGCTGGAGGATGTTATTAACTTGGAATTTAAAGGCACGGGCAGAAACCTTAGGAACCTGTAGTCCTTTCATATGTTTAAACTCCAATCTCTGCCCAGAATCACAGCAGGAGTTCTGTCTGCACCTTTGTAAGTCACCTACTTCTTTTGATCTTTTCTGTCAGACTGTGAATCCACAAACTAAGTCTGTATTCTCGATAAAAATCTGCTTGGGAATGGACATGGTGCTCCCCACTAGAGAGAGTGGCCATTCTGCTCCTTTCCATTCTGTTCCCACAGGACCTGGTTGTCTCTGTGTATGTTTTTCTCATGTTTCAACGAGCATCTGCAGCAGAGATGGGTACCGCTGGCCGGTATCTGCCACAGTCCAAATGTAGAATTCTGGTGGGACTGCTGCATTTTCATACTGTGTGGCAATAAGGATATTTAATCAGCCTGTTTCCTTCAACCTTCAACTGTCCCTCAAATGTGAACTCCAACTTCAGCTTATGTTTTTATAAAGGCTTCAAGTTTGGGAGGGAAAGTGGTTTTATATGGCCAGTTAGGTCATTTCATCTGGGTCTTTGGATCAACAAAAAAAAGTAAATTTGATTTGCCAGAATTTCAGACCCCTGTAACCCTTCCTCCATGTTGGCTTATTCAACATTTATACTGAGCACCTATTATATCAAGCACTGTGCTGTGAATATGGGACTTTTTTTAAGTTCATACTTTCAATATGAACTTGAAATAAACCTTCAAAGGGATCTTTGGAAAAGAGACAGTAGGTAAATTTAAGAGCAAGTATCCTGCTTCATGGATATACCTGAGACAGATACAAAGAAGGGAGAAGCTAAAAATAAATCCGGAAGAGTAAGTTCATAGTCTGTTAGTAAAATCAGACATGAAACAAATAAATAACCATAAGCTCTAATAAGTGAAAGAGAAGTCTAGAGAAGGATGTAATTAAGTCTTTTGGAAAGGGAACAGATAGAAGCAGATTAGGAGAAAGTTTTAAAAGGAGATTCCTAAACTGAGCTTGTATATCTGTGTGTATATGCAGGATGTTGAGGATTCCAGGAAGAATTTAATGTGTTAAAGGCACAGAGGCATAACATTGGAAGACCACAAAAACCATAAGCAGTTAGGTATTGATAAAATATGAGATGGGCAGTAGTGAAAAATGGGAGAATTAAGCAAGGAGTTTATATGCTGTGCTAAGGAGTTTGGACTCAATTTTACCTTATGGGCCACATGGGCCATGAACGCATTTTAAGCTAGGGTGTAAAGTAGTAAAGGTTGTTCTAGGTTCATCACTCTGGCAGTCATTTGTGGATATGTTGGAGGAAGCCAGTCTAAATGCAGGGAGATGAGTTAGAAGGCTGTGGCAATAATGGTGACATGATGATGGCATGTGCCACTAAGCAAAGTAAAGATAAGTCACCTGGCTAGTGTGCCTCACTTGGCCCCAGTGCATCCCTTATGAACATGTGATGAAGCTAAAAAGGGATCTTTGGAAAAGACATGGTAGGTAAATTACAGAGCAAGTATTCTTTAAGGATACTGAGACAAAACAAAGAAGGAAGAAGCTAAAAATAAATTCCTTCTTGTAGGCTACAACCACCAGAGCTCAGATCCACTAGACTTAACAATACGGCACAAGCACACTGAACCCTGTCTAGCACAGTATACCAACTGGCTGCAAGGGATGCTTCAGGTGAGAGGTTCTAGGGGAGGGAGCCCCATTCCCAATCTTTCTGCTTTCTCACTCAAGGCAGTAGCTTCAGAAATAGTTCAGTTGGGTCAGCTTCATTCCCCTCTGATATATCCTTGCTGTGGAATCCAAAAATAACCTGGACTGACCTCTCCATCTGATCCCCAACCCTGGATGAGCTTGGAAAGTTAGTTTGCCTGGAATTAAATTTGATTGGCAAGCCACAGTGGTGTCCAGAAATAAAGAAAGGGAAGAGCAAACAGTGAGTACTCAAAAGAACTCAGCACCTAGTAATAGAAGGAAGAGACAGGCAAGTGGGTAGGGGGTAACCAGGGTGGGCCAAAAGGTAGGATTCTCTGACTTGTAGAGAGCTCCTTGCTTCTAGGGGCAAAGACCTCAAGAAAGGGAGAGAAAGTCAGGATTATCCTTGCAGGAAGGGGAAGATCCTCATTAGGCCACAGCCACGGCTACCTCTAGACCCATCAGCAATTTCTTTGACCTTGCCAGAAGCTCCTGCCCATTTCCCTAGTTAAGAGGACAAGCTTACCAGGTAAAAGAACAAGATGAAGCATTTCTCTTAGAATTTTTCTTCCCAAACACTTAAGCTTCTGTGGTCTTGCTGATCTTGTGTCCTTCTAGTAAAAATGGCCCGGGGATCCATGTTTGGCATTTCAGAGTTTGCAGTAACTTTAGAGATTGTCCAGTCTGCTTCTCTCAACTCTAGAGATATGGAAACTGAAGCTGAGGAGCATGAAGCAGCTTGCCCAGGACAGGGGGTTGCCCCTCACTCCTCCAGAGTACTTTCTGCTTAGCCCAGGGTGCCAAGTGCCCATTTTGCAAATGAGGCCTAGTGTATGGGTTTAGAGCTAGAATTAGAAATTAGTGCTATATGGTTAATTCACCCCAGGGCATGGCTGGCTTGCAGGTGATCTTAAACTGTATCAGGTTTCCTCATTTGTAAATGGAGTTGTGTCACCTTAACATCCACCTTGCAAACTTAATGTGAAGGTTACTGGAAACCACACTTGTGTAAGGGCTGTAGCCTTGGCACACAGTAGATGCTAAATTATGTTTTCCCTAAGAAACATTCATCAAGTCCCATGTGTGGAGGTGAGGAAGGGAAGATGGAAATCTTGTCACCCACATTCCCCTCTGCAGCCTGGGTCACAGAGGGTGGCTAGCCTTCCCCAGGGAATGCACTGTCAATGAACAGTCTAAAGTACAGCTATCTTTGTGCCAAGACCCAACTTGGTACGTCTGGGAACAAGCCCTTCGCAAGGAATATGATTAGGTTGTGGGTGCACTGACAGTTGGGTGTGGGGGTGTAGGCCCTTGAAAATGGAAGGGCTCTGTGATCAGTTCTCTTGTCTGTCTAAGGCAGAGACCCTGTGGTTTGCAAAAGAGGGACTAATGTTCATGAGGAACTAATGAGGAGGTCAGATATCTTTAGGCCTCCTTCATCAGGATCCCACATCCCCCCAGCCTCCTCCTGAGGGCAGCTGTGGAGTCAAAGACAACGTGTCAGAAAGCTTGATTGCTCTCCTGGTCCTGTCACTCACAACTTTGTTCACTTGGAGGCCTGGGCTCCAGGGCTAGTACCTTCACCTCTCCTAGACTTAGGATCCTTATTCTTAACATGAGGATTACCGTTCCTCCCAAGATGATTGTATCCATAAAATAGTGCTTTGGAACTACTAAATGCAAGACGCTTTTCTTCAGCCTCCTGGAACAATTTGGTCTTTTTTCTCCCCGTGAATCCTCCTGGGTCTCCATCTTCTCTACCAGTCTAACAGGGCACGCTCAGCCTCGGCGCCGTTCTCCAAAATCCCACCAGGAGGCGCCCTTTACATGCCGAAGCTGGCTGGGCTACAACTCCTCAGGTCGTAGGCAGAGGGGCTGCCTGCCCTTCTGTGCAGGGCGGTGCCAGGTGCAGGCAACGCCCAGGTCCCTCTGAGGTCGGTGCACCGCAGCGCTCGCCCTTCGTCCACTGGCGCCCCGGTTGCGCGTGGTTCTCACGCCGCGTCCCCAGCCGGGCGCCTGTCGCTCTGTTCAGCCCCCCGGACAGCAGCAAGTTCGCCACCAGCCGCTGGGACCCGCCGCTGCCCCACTCCTCACGCTCCAGCCCAAGGCACTGAGTGGGTGGTGACTGCCTACGGAGAAGCGGCCCAGACCGGAAAGGATCACCCCTCCCCCATTGGCCAGCTTGCACGGGTTGTCGCAGGTCCCGCGCTGACCGCAGGGCGGCGCCCCTCGCCTGGGCTGCGCTCTTGCCGCGCTGCCCGCTCCAGGCTCTCGCGGTCGGACACGACTCTACCTTCAGCTGCTGGAGGATCAGGCCAGGGCTGCCGCAGCTGCTGCAGAGAAAGAAAAAGCAAATAGCGCCCGCCCGCTGACTGGGCAGTCCGGCCCCAGACCAGCCAGAAGTGCGGAGCCACCCAGGTAAGGGCAGGGCGGGCCGCGGGGCCCCGGCCGCACCGCGGGGTACCCCGCGCCCTCGCGTCCCATCTGTGTTGGGCTTCCAGCGTGTGTTCCCTCCCGCGTCCGTATCCCTTACTTTGAAGTCGCTGTCGCTCCCTATCCCCTGGGGCCACTACCCTGCACCCTGCCCCTGACGTTCGGCCCCGCTCTTGCGCCCTTTCTCCGCTCTCCCGCCTCCTGCCAGCCTGTCCCTGCCCTCCGATCCCCACTGGGCTCCTCTCTATGGCCCTGCGTCCGTAGTTTCTCCAGCCCCCATCACTGTCTGCCCCTCCGCATCCTTTCCCTGGGCTCGAGATGCTCCCACTCTGGGCCTCCCGCTTCCCCTATGCAACTGCCAGCCTGCTTCGCCCTCTGCAGGGATGACGGCCCCTTCTCACACCCGCGCGTCTCCCCTACACCTCTTCCGTCACCCTCTGCTTCTCAGATCTCTGGTCTCCTGCTTCCGGGGCTACGGCCTCCAGTGCAGCTCAGCCCTGGATTCCCGGAAGCCCGCTCCCTCTTTTCTCACTAATATCTACCTCTACTGCCCCTTGCCCCTGCACTGGACTCTGGCCACCCCCATCCCCGCCATCACCAGCCTACACACTGGTCGCTTGGGGGAATCCAGAGCCCTATCAGAAATGACTTTCTTTCTCTGACCTGATGGAGCTCCCATCCATCCCACCCTAGTTCATCTGAGTGGGAAGCGAGGAAGAAACTCGAGAGACCTTCCTGTGGGCAAGAGATAGGGGAAAAGGCTAAGGAGGAGATGGACAGGGGCGCTGATGGACATGTTCTTCTGTGAGGACTGGCAGAGCAGTGAGTTGCTCAGACTTGGCAGGGTGGAGGGCCAGCTTGCTACACCTGGCACAGGGGTTTCAAGGCCCTGAAAGCACCTGTATCTTTCCCTGGCTCCCTAGAGCTGAAGAAAGTGAGAAGGGAGGAGTTGGATCCCCCGGAGTGTTGCCCCAGGGACTTTGGGGTGGGGCAGGAGGTACAGGGCCTTCTGGCCTGCCTAGCAGTATATAGGGGGGAATGTGCAGAACTTCAACCCCTTTGGACCTTTGGCTGCCCAGCTCTTGGAATCTCTATGTTGCCATCTTCCTCCTGGTGCTGTTGTCTGGTGATGCCACGTGGTACCATCTCCCTGCCTCCCTCCAGTGGCTCTTCTGGGCATGTCTCCCAAAGGATTATGGCTCTCCAGTGGCTCTCCTGGGTTGTCTGGGAAGAAAGGGAGAGCTCTGGTCTACTAACCCTTTGCCAAATGATGGGCATCTCAGGACTGGCCAAGAACACTGGGCCCTGTTAGGAACAAAGAGAACTACCTTCCCTTAAGCTCCCTGTGCCACCAGGGCAACTGTGAGACTTCAAGGAGCACCTGCAAACCGCTGCCATCTGTTTGGGAGAGAGTCTGGCTGGGTTGGCAGTGGTCATCTGAGAGAGAAATCTGGTTTCACTTTACTTCCCTAGTGATCATGGGATAGAGGCAAGGGGCCTGGAGAGGTCAGCTGTGTCCGATCCCCCACAGATGGAATCCCCTGGAACACCACTGGGTATCATGAGGCTGGTTGTATTTGCTGAAGCTGCAGCTCATGTCTCATTATTAATCAGGTTTATTATTTTCCTCACTGGCTGGATGTGTTCATCAAGGTTGTGACCCTTTGGAGAGTCAATCTAATAAGCACACAGTGTCTGGGTTTGTTTAATTTTCCATATTTTGTTCATTTCTTGTGAAGTGAGCCTTCTGTGGGGGCTGTGGCTCAGGCTTGGTCGCCAATTTCTGTGTGCCTCACCAGCTCTGTCCCCCAGTCTTCCTCTGGACCTGCTACCCGAGACCAGAGGCAAACAAAGCTGGCCCCAGAGCTCTGGGGAGTGCATGGTGGGGAAGAGGCAGTGGTTAATGGAGTGGGTGTTGAGAGGGGATTCTGGTTATTTGTGTTTTCTGTATTCACTACTCCAAAAAGTATCTTGATCATTGAATGACATTTTCCCCAGCATGCTTCCCAGAGACTGGGCCAATGTTTTGGTTTACTTTCCAGTTTGTTTTTCCCTGAGGATGGTGAGGGAACTTTAACCCAATGGGAAAGAAGTAGAGACTCCAGGGGGAAGGTCCCAGCTTCTGAGAGGCAGAGGCTCCCCTGATGTTGGTCTCAAACCCATCACAATGGAAGGAAGAAGACAGGATGACCTGTCTTGGGTATAGAGGAAACTGCTAGGAGGACAAGAGGAGTAGTAAGGAAGAAATGGAGGAAGCCCCTGTTGTGTGCCTGGTAGGGTGGGTAGTGGTGGTGAACATGTATGAAAACAAAGCATCTATTATTTCTAATCCTGCTGTGCCCTAAGGGCATAGTACTAATCCCTTATGTGTGTATTGAGTTCCAGTTTTCAAAATGCTTTTTAGAAAAATTACTTTATTTGATCTCTTCTAAGGCCTTATCAGTATTTGATCGGTACCACCACCCATTAAGAAGGTGTCATTGATTCCCAAGAAACAGACTATTCCAAGTCTCTGCAGCTACACCAGAGCCTCTGGATTCCCAGTCCAGTGCCATTTTTGCTGCTACTTGTTGCTTTTAAAGCTGTTCAGCCTTTCTTCTCCCCATCTGATGCTTCAGTTCCTTTCCATGCTTTCCAGTGTCAGGTCAGCACTTTCTTCTCCTTATGGGGCTGAAGGGTTGGCCTCCCAGGGCCTGGGGTCTAGCTAATTCTTGATTCTGCATTCTTTCAGCCCTTAGACTGGATGCCCCGGCACCCAGGATCTCCTGCCACCCCAACTCCAGGCCAGCTATTTCTCTTGACTCGTTCCTGCAAAAGAGTTCCAGGTTCTTCAAGGCATGAGGCCTGGCCCCTAGGGCCCCTGGGTGTCTTCTTTCCTTGCCTCCTCCACTCCACTTTCCTATCCTTATCACTTCAGCCCTCTTAGCTCTTTTGAGAAGAAGAGCTTTCCCACCTTACCATTGTCCCCACCTCCAGTAAGGACTTTAGTGGTCCACCCCTGGATTATGGTAATACAGTCTCTTCCCTGGGTAGCCTGAGGCCACATCTGCCTTCCTGCAAAGCAAGGTGCTTGTGACCTGTGACCCAATCTTGAGGGCCCTTAGCAACCCCCTGGGATACTGGATAAAATTTCCATTTAGCAGCTTGGATGTTAAAGCCATTCACAGGCTGGCCACAGCTTTATGCCTCTGGATCAGACCCTCTGCTCACCTTCACACCACCACTTTGCACCCTCTTCAAGATTCTTTTCTTTCCTCCCTCTGGGAACATCCTCACCCCCACCCCTGTCCATCTTTAGGTCCCAACAGGAAGTATTTGCTAAGTGTTGGGGAAACCTAGGTTCCTATCCTTTTGTTGCTCCCTGAGTGACTTGGATCAAATTGCTTAACCTAATTTGCCTCACCTGTAAAATGGGGATAAGCTCACCTGCCTGAAAGGGTTGTTTCAGCAAGAATGTGATTGGATGGGAATGTGTTGTGTCAGTGTGAAGGGCGCCCAGCAGGTACTCACCAACCCTGGGCCATTCCTCCCACACTGCCTCTTTGTGGCACTGTTTTAGCTTCCTGCTTCTGCCTGATATTGATAATTATCGACCCCTGTTTGTCTCCTCACCCAGAAGGCAAACCCCTTGAGAAGCAAAGCCTTTGCCTGGTGCCTTTTCACATCCTGGACTCCTAACTGAGAAAGTGCTATCCTTCCACAACCCATAAACTGGCCCCTGCTTATAGTAAAAACATAAGGAATAGTTGTTAATTGATTATAACATTTGGTTACATAAACTAGAGTATGCCTTACATGCAAATCCAGTGTAAAAAAAATCTTATACCATAGTGCCAGCCAAGGTAAATTATGGGAAGGAAGAAGGGAATCAATGTAATATTGCATTGTCTGAGCACTCTGCTTATTTCATTTAATCATTCCAGCTTCCTTATGAGTTAGATGTGAGCATAACCTTTCTTACAAATGAGGAACGAAGGTCCATAGGGAGCCCTACAGTATGACACCCAGTGCTACTTCACAGACCAGAGAACACTCCAGAACCCGAGTTTCTTCCTCCCATTCTTGGGTCCAAAAAAGGTAAGGAGAGGCTCTTTAAAAAAGATTCTTCACAGGTTTTTTAAATTACAGAATCCAGTAAATGTAAATGTGTCATTTACTTACAGCCCAGTGGGGATTACTTAGTTAAAAGTACTTTTGTGGGACAGGGCTTTTCCTTCTGCAGCTTTAGGATTTGAGTGGCAAGGACAGAAACACACCACAGAATTGGAACATGAGGCATGTGTGAATGTGCACTGGTCACCAGCAAAGGTGGGGCTGGAACTCAGTGACAGGAGGAAGGACTCTATGGGTGAGGAGGTGCTGCACAGGCAGAGTGCGGGCATGGGATATCTGAGGACTGGGTGAGGCAAGGAAAGAAAAGGTCTAGTCTTCTGGTGGGTAGCAGAAATAACTCAATTCAGGAGGACCTTGAAAGCCAAAGAGAAGAGGTTCAAGTTGACACATCTGGTTTGGGGAGACATTGAGGATCCTTAGGCAGAATTATGAAGTGCCAAGAGAGAATTTGAAGACCTGGGGACTGGGATAAAAGCAGAAGGGTACTACACTGAGTAACATTTCCAAAGACGAGCAGAACATGCTGACAGATTGGAAATAGCAGATGAGGAAGCAGAAAGTGTCAGAGAAAACTTTGAGATTTCTAGCTCTGGAGACTAGAGAGAATGTGATGCCACTTTCAGAAATAGAGAAGCCAGAAGGAGATGCATTTCAGAGTGAATACTGATAAGTCTCTTGCCAGACATGCTATGAGGGAGGCTACTGGAGCATTTGGGGACAGAGCACAGTGGCTGGTGGAGTTCCTGGACAGCACTTGAGCAGTCTTGTGCAAGGGCATGCACCTCAGACCAGGTGATGCAAAGGGGGCTGGTTCTAAGCATTTCTAATGACTGGATTTTACCTCTACAGCTACTGTGAGCCCTCTCTGCCCT